ATTTTGTTTGTAAAAAAATGTTCAACGTCCCCTAATATTTATAATAATAACAACAGTAATAATATATAAATCATAGTAATAGCAATAGTAATAATAATAATAATAATCACAGTTTTTCTGAGGATATCAAATTGATAATAAAAATAATAATATATCAATTAAATATAAAAAAATAATAATTATAATTATTACATTAATCTAGTAATAAATTCAATAATGAATAAATTATAATGTAATATGATATTAAAAATAAGAATTCAAATAATATATATAAATATAATAATAGATATAATTATTATTGTTGTTACTATTGTTAAAACGTGGATATTGAAGGGGTTTGGAACTTTTTAGAAATCCTTTATATAATTTGAAATGAAATAAGTCCTGAATGGTGTATAGAATCCATTAAAGAGAAGAGAAATTTCCATTTAATATGTACGTGCAATATAGTTAAAGTACAAATACGTCATGAATTTTTAAGGCGATAACGCCTGCGCTTGTAGAATGGATACACGTGGAGTGTCCACGAGTATAATTCTAAAAATAGAAGAGAAAAAAAAATTAACTTATTGCTACTATGTTTCTATTTCTGATAAACTGACTGAAATTATAATTTAATACTATTTACGAATACGTTAAATGATAGATAGAAGTTTGTTTTTTTCTCAAAGACTTTATATCGTACTTTTTTCTTTTTTTCTTTTCTTTTCTTTTCTTTTTCGTGACAGATATATAGAGGAAAAATCAAAGATGTGTAGAAGATTAATGAATTGATGTGCAGTATATAAATGTATATTATTATTTATATACAATATGAGAAAGAGATATTTTTCCCAAATGGAATAATTTATATTGCCCTATAAATTATAATTTATTGAATATTGTTTTCGAAATATCAGTCGTGGAAAAATTGTTAAATATTTGGATTTGATTTTTTTGTTTCTAATTAACGGTATTTTGTCTGGAAATTACTTTCTAACTACTATCTAAATTCGTATTATCGAAAGTTGATTAGTGAAAAATTATTTTTTACTAATTTTTATTTAAATTGACATACAAAAATTATATTTTATTATTAAAATTATTTATTATTTATTAAAATTAAATAAATAAATATTTATTTCGTTAAATTTATATACTAATTCGTTTATTAGTGAATAAAAATGCAATATAGAAAATAGAATAAAAAATAATTTAATTGATAAATAAATAAAAATAATTTAAATAATTTTTATTCTATTTTCTATATTTTTTATTTTTGCTCACTAATAAATTGAATTAATTTCTTGGTGCATTAGAATTAATTTATTAGTGAGCAAAAATAAAATTTATTAGTTTAAACTATAAATGTTCAAAAGAAAAAAATAATTGAGAGTATTAAATGAAAAATTAGTGAAAAAAAATCAAATGTTAAATTAAACTAGTGAAACTATGGAAAAAGAGTGGAAAGTAAACGTTTAAAATTTAGTAGTGCAAATGCGATTAAATCAAACTAATCTTGAAATGAATTGTTGGTGTATCTCTATTAATTCAAGTAGTGTGAGTCGATTTTAGTCAGACATTCACTTATGATAATCTCTTCTAACCAAGTTCGCGAAAGAGATAGGAAATTATATTAGATAAAGCATAAGGTACAATATCATTATAATTTAATGTACCCATAACTTTATTACACATTTATAGTTGTTCAATAAAATGTTTATTAATTTAAAAAAAAATAGTCAATTAAATACTTGACTGTTATTAAATCAATATTTATTTCTATCAACATTTTTTTTTTTTTATATTGTCAATAATTTTTTTTAACACGTAATAATTTGTTTTGGATAATTTTTCAAATTTATAAATGACTGGAAGAAATGTTTTTGGTTTATTTAACTATTCAACTTAATTTGATTAACTTAATCTTATGTCAAATTTGCGTTTAAATAAATCAAACTTATCTCTTGAGTGTCTATAATTAATTTATGAATGCCTCCCCTATTAGATATATTATTATTATATATGTATCATAAGAAAAATGTACAAAGATATCAAGTTACCCTTCTCCTACGCCCCCTTTTCTTTCTCCAAAACTTGTATTGTTATTTATGATCGTCTTAAAAATATAAATATTATCATGTGGTATATTATGTATTTTATAATATATTATATTGTGATTTATTATAATATAAAATATATCATTACGAGATATTTATATAAATGCGTGTTTTCGAATTTTTTATTCTTCTCGTTAGTCCATAATTTTTGTTAATCTGAAGTCTGAACTTTTGGAGATTTACCACTTCCCACCTACGAAAAACAAAATATATTCTGATATTTTTATATTAATTATTTTATATTTATTATTACTTATATTATTATTATTATTATTATTATTATTATTATTATTATTATTAATATATATTTACTGTAAATTTATTTAATGTTTAATACTGTTTATTTTTATTAATTTCTTTCACGATAGAATAAAATTCCTTTGTTTAGTTCAGTAAGTTTCAGTATACTTTAATTTGTTTTTAAAAAATCGCTTTTTTCAATTTTTATAGATATTTATACTGTCCTCTAAATTTTAATTAGTTAAAAATAATTAATTTGATAGTAAAAAATCTGTCACAGATACAAATATAGTATGTAAATAAATTTAAAAAAAATTATCTTATTAATCGAAATTTTGTGAAATTCAACTGAAAATAATTAAATTTGTTAAAGAATTTCATTAAAAACTTTTTACAAATCGAATTTTCAAAGTATTTTAATTTAATAATTGATAAATAATTAAATTTTATAAAGAATCACTTTCTAAAATGTATTCATGTTTCTTAGTGCAAAGATTAATAATTGAAATTTTTATTAGTTAATTTAAAAAAAGACACACATAATTTTTTAATAAAATTGAATTTTCGCAAAGTTTTTTTGAAAATTCTAAAAAATAAGATTTTTCAAATTTTTTAATTCTATTGTTTCAAGATAATTGAATTTTTACAAACAAATAATTGAAAATTTTTGAAATAATTGAAAATTCTTTACATTCTATTAAAAATAATTAAATTCTTTTAAAGCATTTTATTAAAATTTTTCGAAAATAATCAAGGGAAGTTAGTCACCGTAATTATAGTTTTATTTTTAAAAATTTTGTTCGCAATATATTCAATTATTTTTATAAATAGTAAAGCTCATTGCAGAATTTCAATTATTTTTAATACAATTTTAATCAAATTCCTCGAAAAATGTAATTATTCTTAAAAATTTTATTAAAACTCGTCGAGAGAATTCAATTATTTCTATAAACTGTAAAAAAATTCTTGGCAAGAATTCAATTATTTCCATAAATAGCAAAATTCTTCAGATTTAGTAAATTCTTTTGAATATTATTTAAAAAAAGAATTTTTTACAAGAATTCAATTATTTTCATAAATTTCCATAAAATTCTAAAAAACAATTTAATTATTTTCAAAAGTAATAAAATTCTTCGCAGAAATTTAATTATGTTTAAATATTTTTTAAAATTCTTCTCAAAATTTCAATTATCTTTATAAATAATTAAACTGTTCTCCACAATTCAATTATTTTCAAAAATTTTACTAAAAGTCTACGCAAATATTTAATTATTTTCATAAATAATAACATTCTTTTGAAGAATTCAAATATTACTTTTATAAATAGTAAAATTCTTTGCAGAAATTAGATTAGTATATCAATAAATTTTAATAAAATTGAATTAATCAAATTTTTAATTATAATTATCAACTGACAAGATTATTTTAAAAAATTGAAAAAATTCTTTGTTTAATTCCATTATTTTCCAAATTTTTAATTAAAATTATTAAAAAAACATTATTTTCGAAAAATTTAAAGAAAATCGTCAAATTAATGTTATTATTCATGAAAACTCTAATAAAAATTTTTGAAACTATTTGTAGATTTATTCATGTTCGAAATTAAATAAATTTAATTTTTATGATAAAAAAAAACCGGGAAAAATTAGGACAAAGCCGGGAAAAACCGGGAATTTTGTTGAACAGAAATAGTAGACATTCTGAAATTATATTATTTAGAAAACTAATTTTTCTTAATAGACATAATGATTTGATTTATAAATTGAAAAATTTGATTAACTGAACAAAATAGAGAGCTTTAAATTAATTTGAAAACAAATTTTTTTTACCTGTATTTCTTTTGCTAATATTTAATAACACGAAGAGATTACATTTTTTGAAAGCGCTTTTGTTACTTTTTCATTATCAAATATTTGAATGAAATCATTATCAATATCAATTTAACTAGTTTAATTAGTTAAAATTTAATTTAAATTAGTTAAAATTCCTTTTAGTTTATGTTAAACTTAAGTTTAACTAATTTTTCAGTTATTTTTTACTTAAAATTAGTCTTTTTTTTTTACTGAAAATCAGTTATTTTTAACTGATTTAGAAGCAAACAGTCAGTCACTGATTGTCAATTAAAACTATGATTTTCAACTGATTAAAATTTAGAGAGATAATAATAATTCTTTACACTTGAAGCTTTTCGGTTGTAAAGGTTATGTTAACTACCCTTGTAAAATGCAAAAAAAAAAAATTATACAGTAAATAAAAATAATAAAGAAAAATAATAAAAATAATAATAATTAGTGTGTAATAAAAAGGCCCAATACGGACTATTAATATAATAATATATAAATAAATATAAAAGAAATACAATAATTTGTATTGTATATTTTATATTTATTTGAATATAAAAATAGACATAATATTATCTGAATTTGTCCCAGAAATATTAAAAATAATGATATATAATTTTGCACGTCTTTAAAGAGGAAAACAAAATTAAGATGACGAATTAAATGAATACAATATAATATGTTTTTGTATTTGTCTATTTCGTTGATGTAAAAAGCTTTCATACTCGCACTGCATTTTTTCGCGTTGTCATTGTTTTTTTTTCACAAGCTGTGAATTAAATGTCCTATGTGATAGTAACTGGGTGTTTCTTGCTTGCAGCACCAGGGCGCCGCCCAGGCATTGGTGAGTAGCATGCCCCTCTGGTTCCCCACTGTTTATAATGCTTCATTGTCAGCTTTCTTTTCTTTGTGCTTTTGCAATGTGTCCCATAAATATTTGTATATATGTATAAACGCTCTCTCCAATTACACTCTACTCTCACTATAATATGATACTTGATAGTTGATAGTAATAATAATTATTATTTGAAAAAAAAATACTCTGGCATAACATTTTCAGACAAAACATCAGACATTTTTTTTATGTATACATAATTATTTGTTTACTCTTCCCTAAGGGGTAGTGTTATATTACATACACGTTGGGGAAAAATTTTGATAGTTCCATACTCAGTTTTTATGAGGATATCAAATTGAGACAAAAAGAAAGTATCAAAATTGTTGCCATGCAACAATTTTGATACTTTCTTTTTGTCTCAATTTGATATTCTTAGAAAAACTATCATTTTAGGTGATTTGAACAAAATTTAGTATTTATTTCAAACTTTTGGTTTTATTTTCAAATATTTTTCTTCAAAGTATTAAATTTTGAATATAAGTCTGGGTTAAATTAATACAAAAATTGTGATCAATTTGGAATTTGATCCATATTTTTGGTATCAATTTGTTAAAATTTAATACTTTGGAGACACTTTGTATATTATTAATATTAATTATTCGATTACTTCTTTGGAATGTTAATATAAATTATTATTCTATTTTGTCATGAAAGAAATATTTTGAATGAAAATATTTTTTTAGAGTCTAGAAAATATTTAATTGAATGAGCCAATTAATTAATTTGTATCGAATTCTTGTTGTTTTATTTTGTCAGTAGTAATAGTAAGTTTTAGTCAGACAAGTGTTCGTTTGAATTTTTTTAAAATTGAGTGTCAGGAGGAGGAAAGTTTGTTTATAATATTAATATCAGTAGTAGAGGTAAATTATAGTCAGACTGAATTTATTTTTCTTTATTTTTTAATGCTTTTTGTAGTTCAGTAACTTTTTGAATTAGTAACAAAATAGTTTTAATCAGAAAAAACATTCTTGTACTCTATAATAGTTTTAATATCAGTAGTGGAAAACTTTGTCAGTCAGATAGAAATTTGTTCAAATTATTATAAATTTTGGATTAGTAGTAACAGACAGTTTTATCCAGACAAAGAATTCTGGTCTTCTGGAAATTTTTATGAGTAGTAGAAGAGTCAATTTTAAGTCAGACAGTATTTTAGGAAATTTTTATGAAAAGCTAGTTAGTAGTGAAAGATTCTTCTAGTCGTAAAAAAAATTCCTGTCTTTAATAACAGTCAAAAATTTTCTCCAAATTTTTATAAATGTAATCAGTAGTAAAAGACAAGTTTAGTCAGACAGACAATTTTATCGCTAAGAAATTTTTTATATAAGTGGTAACAGTAAATTTTATACAGACAAATGTTTGTAAAATTTTTGTAAACAGCAGGTTAGTAGTGACAGACATTTTTAGTCGGACTAAATTCTACAAACATTTTAAAAATATAAGTTGAGTAATAAAAAAAATTTCACTACTTATGTAAAGCCTCAAAGAAGATAGTAATCTATCTTCTGTGAGGCTTTAAATAAGTAGTGAAAGTCAATATAAACTTAATATAATATAAATATATAAAATTTATATAAAATTTTTAAAAATATCTAAACAGTAGTGTAAAATATGTGTATAGTCAGACAAAATTCTGCAAAAGTTTGGTAAATATCGCAGTTGAGTAGTTTAAGAAAGTTTTTGTCAGACAAAGCATTCGTGTCTTCAAGGAAGTTCTTATCAGTAGTAGAAGTCAATTTTAGTCGGACAACATATTCCATTCAATTTTTATAAATATGACAGTAGTAAAAAATATTTTTAGTCCAACCGAACATTTCTGATTTCTACGTAAATTTTTATTAGTTCAGCAGAAGTAAATTTTCATCCATCAAAACTCTACTATTTTTACTGAATATAAAATCAGTAGTAAAATACACTTTTAGTCAGACAAGACTTTAATAGTATATAGAAAATTTTATATCAGTAGTTAAAGGTCAGTTTTATGCAGACATAAAATTTCTGTTCTGTAATAATTTTCTTATCAGTAGTAAAAGACAGTTTAGAACGAGAGAAAAGTTCATTAAAATTCTAATAAATATTAGATCAGTAGTAAAGGACCATTTTAGTCAGACAAAATTTTTTTTTACTGTAAGTAGGATATTAGTAAGTAGTAAAAAACATTTTCAATTATATAAAAAAAAAATATATATATATATTTTTTCTGTACCATAGTTAATTGTTTATCAGTATCAGTATAGTAAAATATAGTTTGGTCAGACAAAAATTTATTCTCTTATTTAACCATCGTATCAGTAGTTCAATATAATTTCGGTCAGGCAAATATTTGGTTCATTCAATAAAAAATGTTTTAAAATAATTGGATATAATTTTTCTATATTTCAAAAAAAAACTTTTTTCAAAAATTGAAAATAATATTTTTGGTGACATTCAAAAAGTACGTAAGGCTTTAAGGGGGGTCCAGCTATTTCTTAAGGTCAATAGAAAAAATGTTTGTGAATGTGGACACTTATATTAAAAAATTTTTTTTTATAAAGGAAAATTATTTCCAATAACAAAATAGTAAGGATAATATTAAAAATTTGGTTTTCATCACCATTTGGAAAAACTTTGTCTATCACAGATAAAACTTGTTACCAAGAAGACAATAATTTATGGAATAAACAATTTGTATGCTTATATCATTGCTTTTTTTTTTGCTCGCAATTATTGTTTACTATTCTTCATATATTATGCTTTTTGCATTCTCCATACAGTATTTCGATTTTATCAATGTATGAATAAAGGAAAATAATTTTAATTCTATTAACAATTAATTATTTATAGGAAAATCAATTTGAAAATTTATAGGGTTATTACTATATTGTCTGAATGTTGCACGAATTTATTAATATCAGAAATTTTTCTAAAATATTAGAATAATTTTTTTAGCAATAAACAAATTTTATAGGTTTTATAATTGATATCCTTAGAAAAATTGTGATTCGTCTGTTTTTACAAGTTTAGGAATATTTTTCTTTTTTTTTATATTGTCATGTTTTATACTACCTATATAATTATATAGTATAATAGTTAATTGTATATTTGAAATTTGGAAAAAATTGGTGCATTGGAACAAAAGATATCTATTTACGAATATAAATATTATTTTAGTCAATATTGCAGATATATCGTGAGGGAAAATATTTGTAATTCACGACTTTTCTTGTTATTCAATTTCCTGTCTCACAATATGTTTAGAATTTTAATAAGTCTTTATATAATAGAGTTTTTTTTTCTATTTAAATATTTACAATGAAAAGTTGGAGAAGATAGGAAAACAAAGAGATGAGTTGAAGGTGAAAAAAAATTATTTTTTTATATTCCAGTGGGAGAAATACACGATTGGCATAATATTTTTACTTAATATTAGTTTTTTTTTTATTTTTGTATTTGGTTATTATTGTATTATTTTATAATTAGTTATTTTTTTATTATTTTATGTTTAGTTATTTTTTTATTATTTCGTATTTAGTTATTTTTTCTATTATTTTATATTTAGTTACTTTTGTATTTTATATTTTATTTTAGTTTCATTTAGTTTGAATTTCGTGAGAATATTTTTATTTATATTTTAATAATTTAAATTATTACTTTGACTATTTTTCTTATAAATTATCAAAATTAATTTGAAAAATATATATATTGAATTCGATTTGATTTTTTTTCTTTGAAATGAAATAAAACTAGTTCAGTGGGAAGAGTTTCTACTTCCGTTTGTAATTGAGATAGGACATTATTCCTTTTTGTCCTTCTGTGATAGACGAAAGCGCTCTCCAAAGAGTAGGCGGAAAGATACTCAAACGTTTTTGTCCAACAGTTTGGTTAACACTGCGCTCAAGTGTTTGAACATATAAAGAACAGGGTGTTATTGCTTTGCTTTTAAAAGAAGAAAAAATTGTTGAAAGTTTAAATTATCAATTATAATTAAATGATTTCTTTTATTGTAAAAATTATTAAGTAAAATTAAAGCCTGTATATTTTTTTTTATCATTTTTCTATATTGAAACAAGAAAAAAGGAATTAAAAAAAACCGATAAATTTAGGGAAATTTTTTTCTGATTTTATTAATTCTTTATGAATTTATTTATATTAATTATTAAGTGTTAAATTAATTATTCCTTTATAATTTTTTTATTTATTTATTTTCTACCTATTTTTTTTAATATTGTGAAACTTATTTATTAAGTATAAACAATTAATAAAATTAGTAATTAAATAATTAATAAATAAAAGTTAATGAAATGAATTGATAATTAATAAATAAATAAATGAATAAAATAAATTAATAATATTAATAAATAAAAAATAATGAAATAATAATGAATTAATAATTAATAAATAAAAATTAATGAAAAAATAATGAATTAAATTAATATATAACATTTAATGAAATAATAATCGTTAGTGTATAATAATTAATTAATTAATAAATAATTAATTAAAACCATATATTTAATAATTTTCTTTATCAATTTATATTTATTGGTAAAGTTCATATAGATTGCTCCTTAATTTCATACGCAATATATTTTAGTGATTATGAGGGGAGAATTCTGTGGGCGCGTTATCGTATATAAATAAAGGAAAGAAAAATTGATAAATTGAAAGGAAAACACATAAATTACTGTATATTGTAAAGGTACGTTTATTTTCTCTCCTTTTTTTTATTATTTTATTCTTCTATCCTTAATGACAAATCAGTAGGTATTTTATTGAAAAGTCAGTTTTTCCATAGAGTTGCGAGTTCAGCAAAAATAAAAAAAAAATTCAACGTAAATTTGCGGAATCGACGTTTTTTTTGCGATGAGTTTTAAAAAAGTTGAATAAAATAGAGAGCAAGGCCGTCCTTAAGGTGGCCTTGATTCGGCAACCTGGCGCAAAAGATGTCACCAAGAATCGAGTATAACTGG